TGACTAATGCCAACCCAAAACCCGGTACCGACAAGCTGACTGATCAATTCAATAAACTCCATACTCAGTAATCCACACACTGATGTGCCTTTCAAACCACTAACCCCAACCTCGAAGCTCCCTACACAAACCACAAATTTTGAAATCTCACCGGATCTCCTAAAATTGAACCGCATCAACACTGCGTCTAAGGAAATCACCGTCCCCCACCATGACTGTCTAGCAAGCCTGCTCACTTCCTTGACCGAAGACCGACATGGTCAACCTCAATCACAACATCCCGAATACGAAGGACTACTTTGACCCACGCTATACTCATTACTTTAGAACACGAATTGCTCTTAATTCAAAGAATGCTGGCAGCATCCACTCATAACCCACACCCAACAATGGATAACCAATCACAATATGAACACTACCCCTATACAACCAAGGGGGGTCACCACGGACTCACTATCTGATCAACACACTTCTTACAAAGGCCCAAGGTGAGGAAAACACTCTAGGTAGATCAATCCTAAGAGAGAAGTTCGGTTTTAGAGTGAGGTGCTCTCCAATGGAGGTTTTGAAAAAGTAAGAGAGAGAAAGGAAATCAAAAAGTGATCAAAAAGGTGGTTTCACGAACTGATATAAAAGCAGGTCCGCTCGAGCGTACAACACCCCGCTCGAGCGTACAGACACAGGTTCACGCTCGAGCGTCCAAACTGCCGCTCGAGCGGAGAGGCAACAACAAAATCCCGCTCGAGCGTCAAATCGCCGCTCGAGCGGAGAGACCAAAACCTGGGCAAAATTTCTAAGTTTTAAAACACGACCCACTTATTCCCAACCTGCCCAACACAACCCAAAATTCTAATTAAAAGAGTAAGGGATAGAAATGAGGATAAGATAACAACGAATCTACGGAACTGAGTCCGGATTATAGTTAAACAACAACAGGAAATATCGGGACCGCTATAAAACCAATCTTTTTATGTGGGTAGCTTTCACTCAGCTGTCATTACAGGCCCCAAAAGCCCTGCAACCCTTCAGAAATCCTGCGATCTCTCTCCTCTTTCTCAAAAAACAAAAACAAAAAAAAATAACGTTGTGAAAAAAGACTCTACCCACCACACCTTTCACCTAAAAGTGCCACCATGGCTACATTTTCTTGACTTTAACTTAATCAAATTGTATACACTAATTAAAAGTATATCTCTCTACCCTTTAATCTTGCATGGGTTCATGTGTCTTTCTCCTCACTCTAGCTTTCTCTTTCTTTCCCACATGAGAGAGAGAGAGAGAGAGAGAGAGAGAAGGGTTCTTCATCAAAGTGGCAGCAGAGCAAAGGAGTTCACAGTTTGGGGATCTTGCAAGAGTCAATTCTGTTAAGTTTTGTAAAGAGTGGCTAAAGGTTGAATTTTGTCAGGTTCTGAAGAGCTGGGAGTTGTGACTGTTGGTGAATTGAAGCCCAGCATCGCAGGGAAGAGGTCTTTTCGGCCGAGTTCGAGTACAAGGCATGTCACTGAATGGTAATCTTCTTCTCCTTCTCTGTTCCACACACTAAACTAGTACTATGTTTCACAAAAATTAGGTAGTTTCAAACCAAGTATGATAAAATCTGGTTTTTACAGCCTCTAATTCTGCATTTTAACATGAATCTTGATTTATTTTTTTTTGAAAATCTGTGATGGGTTGGGTCTGGTTTATACTCTATACTTTTGGAAAATTTGAGGTTGAATAGAATTAAGTAGTTGAAAATTTTACAGAATTAAAGCTTGATTTGGTCTTGTGCAAGAAAGCAGAGATTCCACCAAGCATCTTCTTCAACTTATATTATTCATTCAGCCCAAAAGTTGTTTTTTCCACTTTCACTACTGAAAAGGGAAAAAAAAAAAAAACTTTAAATTTGAAATGACTATTTAGTATCGTGAAATAGGTTACTGAATTCATTTCATAACTGTAAGCAATCTTCATCGTGTCCAATCCCCCAAATTTTACAGAAGGTAGCAAAATCACACCTAGTTTTCAAGATTGAATACAACTTGTCGAATATGTGTCAACAAATCTCTTGTGCTTAAAAAGCACCCCCACGAGGCCGTGATGTTAAATGTCCTTATTTCAACACACACCCATTAATGCTCTGATCTGGTTTTAGTATCCGTCTGTCAATATTTTCGCATCTCACCCCTATCCAGAGCCCCTCAAGCGTACGAAGGAGTCATATAATAGATGCTTGAGTATGACATTTTTTACGTGAAATAGACTAAAAATTTGCAAACAGACAAACATACACGTTTTCTGATTGAAATGAAGGGTCCCAGCATACCCATGAAAGTAAGCGAAACAGCCAAATCAAATTGTTTCCTGAATGCAACCTGCCTTGCAATCTTCATTGCAGGTTTCAGAACCATTGGGTTAAATTTGGCCTTATCTGCTAAAAGTACTGCTTGTGAAGTCCCACTCCTTTTTTATAATTGAGCTTTTGCTTTCAACTGGGGTCCTCCATGTCGAACGTAGGATCCAAATGGATCACTATATATGAATTGAAACCCCTTTGGAACAAATTGGTATCATAGGTTCAACATGGTGATGAAGATGTAAAGAAGAAACCAAGATTTTTAACTAACAATTATGTATGCGCGGTTTTCTTTCTTCATTCTTGATTTTACCCGTCTCTATGATGCTAATTTTGGCATGTCTTGTATCTTGCAGGCCGATATCTGATGTTTCCAGCGATCTTACAATTGAAGTTGGAACAGCAAGTTTTGCGCTTCACAAGGTAAGGCAAATGTACTGCAATAATGAGAAATTTCACCTTTTGTGTAAATCAATAGCTTAAAGTGCCATAAAATCCTTTTAAAATCAAGATTTAATCCAAGTATCCCACGTCAGTTTTTTGAGGAATCAAACAATTTTCAACTTGAGAATTTGAAAATTCAGCAATATTTTGGCTGGAACAAAATAAGAAAATTTTGCTTGAACATTATGGTTTGTAATGGAGGAACCGAGGTAAAATTTTACATAAAAAAAGTAGATGAGAGTGAAATCTTATTAAAAAAGGCTAACACAAAATAATAACCACAACAATGTTAGAAGAAAGTAAATGAAAAATATGAAAAGGAACTTTTATAATATGATCAGGATTCTTTTGCAGTTCCCTCTAGTTTCTCAGAGTGGAAGAATACGAAAACTGTTGGTTATTCTTTCGGTTGGAAGAATACGAAAACTGTTGTTGGAAGAATACGAAATCTATGGTTCGGTTATTCTTTCTCAATTTCGAAGCTTATTTTGAATCTGAGAATAATTGTTAAAGCCTTTGTAAACCCTTATTTTGAATCGTCTAGTTTCAAATCTCGCCTCTCTCAACCCTCTCTAAACCCTTATCATTCTCACAGATTCATCTTTGAGATTCAGAGCGATTTCGATTTAGAAGCTCCACCGCCACCACCGTCTGCACCGGCTCGATTTCTCTGATAGTAATGCAGACGATATATTTGGGGGTAGATCTTTAATGGGTCGGAATCTTCTTCATGCCAAGAAAGGTGTTTTTTTTCTTTTCAATCATACCCTTTTTAATCCATTGCTTTAATGGGTATTTTTCGTTTGAATTTTTTTTGTTTTGTTTTGTTTTGTTTTGGGCGTTTATAATGCATGTATCTGTTGGATTTATATGTTTAAAATTTCAGCAAAATATATGATGATTGAACATTAACATATGGGGGTTTATCAATACGAAGTTCTCTCTCTCGATTCCTCTTCAGCTCGGTGATTCCTCGTAGTGATTCATCTCAGAGGGGGAACGGTGAACGATGACATTTGCATGCCTTTGATTCAACATTCAGGCAAGGACTCTGTTTTTTTAAATGGAAATTGAGGCAGGATATGTCATAACAGAAGCAATTCTGAAGATTGATACTGAAAGACCTTTTGTGATTAAATTTGCATTGTATGTCTCTTAGGTATAATGACACATTAATTTCAATACTTTATCTGAGATTATTTTGATCCATATCTGTTTTAAGAAATAAAGCATTTTTTTCCATCTATATTTATTCACCCACGATTCTGTTACAGAAGTTACTATCTTTCCTGCTACTTTTGTGTTTGTGGTCAATAATTGCCTCTGCCTAGTTGTTTCTTGCCAATATGAGTTTGCTCAGTTAAAGATACAATTTTTTTGCTACATCCTCTATCATTCGATTTTGTTTTACTTTATTAAGTGCTTTGAGATGGCACTGTTGTAGGCTTCTTGTTGGTCTGGGAGCAGCCAGGACAGGAATATGAGAAGCCCTTTCGAATCACTATATATCCAGCCATCCTTCGAATCTATTAGTTGGTATGCTTAGTATTAGTAATTATGGTGTCTTAGCTCCAATCTCTAGCTCTTAGTAAAACTCTTTTCTTTTTTTTTTTTGGTTTGATTTAGCTTATAATGGATTCCTGAAAACATGCTTTCCCAGTAGGTGTTGTTAATGCTTTCCTTGTTTTACTTCTCGTTGTTTCTCATCATCGCTTGTGAAATTCATGAATGACAAGAGGAATGTTGCTTTTATGAATGTGCATAAATAAAATGATGGTAACAAATGATATAAACAAAGTGTAGCAAATTCATAGAACGATAGATCTGCACAGCAATTGCAGGGAACATATGCATGCATAAAATCAATTCTTCCTTTTCAAATCATATGACGAGATGTATGCCTTGCTACAAATTGTGATTTCCTGCTGATATTGATTTTAGATGAGTGCCAGTTAATGCTGTCTGTATGATTCTGTTACTGTTACTTCTAATAGCATTGCGTCATTCCAAATGTTTGAAAAATGGGTGGAAACATTAGAGAACCATAAAATAATAAAATCTCCTGCCTTCGTGAACCCTAAATTCTTTTAGCCACTAGAAATTTTCATGCATCTGCTTGGCATCCAATTTTTGTTTCCGCATCTTCGCTTTGTCTTTTAAGAGTAAATATTAGTTATAACGGTGAAAGTACATGATAATATTACGAACCGCTACATAGTTGGGTAGTGTCAAATAATCTCATTTGTAGTATTTTATTGGCCGATGATACTATGAGGATGGTGTTACCGTTGCGGTCCATAATTGTTTCATCTTTTTAGACATGTTTGCTAAATCATTTGCACCTAATCAGAGAGATTCTCAGTGTGTGGTGAAATGCTGCTTTTTATGTTGTCTTGAGATGGTTGGTGCGTCTATTATGCTCTGCCTTTTATCCATACCTACTATTCAATGTTTTATTTTTTGGCCATCCATCCCACAAGTTTTCAAGACCTTGACTGCTTTTTACTATTCAACAGAATCTTTAAATGGAAGGAATCAGTGAATTTGGTTATACCTCTTGAAAGTTATTTTATTGCTTTTAATAGCAAAACTTTACTTTTTTGTGTGTAAAAGAAGAGAATATTTTTAAAAATACCAATTATATAATAGCTTAATTTTTATTGAAATTTCCAGTGAAAAACCAATGAGCTGTTTGTTGCTCAAGTATTGTTAGGTTGAACTAGCTGTCTTACAATCCATTATGTGCGTGTGTATGTCATTTCTCGCATTATATCATTTTCTTTCCTGGGAATTACCAGGACAAGACAGGAGGCAATGAAAGCAACAACTACATTTTGGCTGTTATTTTTTTTTAGGTTGATGATTGCTCTTTGGATATCATCTTATGTGATAATGGGTCTTATCGTTTATTTTTTATTTTTTCAGATGGTGGTCTTATCTTTTATTTAGATATTAATAACACTATTATTTTTGCTTAGTTACGATAATAAATATATTCTTAATATTTTTGGGACATAGGTTCCCTCACCATTGTTGGGGAATTGTGTTAATAGACCAAAACAGGTGTTAGGATAGGGTACAATGATGGATTTTGTATCAAACAACTATGTCTAGTACATGCTATTGGATTTTTTGTGTATGGTTCAAGTTGGTTTTCTTTGCAGATCATTTAATCACTATTCTCTTTTACTCATTGAATGCATAAAAAGTTCTGAACTTGAAATAGCACAGATGGTGCAGGTGCCACTGCCATAGCTATGCTTTATGTATGCAATTCTTAAAGTGGACATTGTCATTGTAGACTGCTTCAATGACTATGATTTTGCATTAAGCTATTTCAGTCTTATAAAACTCCTTGTTAGTTTGAGACTAGGAAGGTGGATGAAGGTAGATCCTGCTGTACATAACTGCATAACTGTTTAACTAGTTGTGAGCCTTTGAATTAGTTTTTGATCAAAACAGAGAATATAAAAGCTCTTAGTGCAAAGAATTGGATATATAGACATTATGGATTTTCATTGTTAGGTTTTATTTCTTGGCAAACCCGTTTGACAAAACTCCTTTGAGTTGTAATTTTATTCGCATTTTTATTTCAGTGAGACTTTGAGTGTTTAGATGCGAATCCAACCCGAATCAAGCCTTTCAGAGAAGTTTGTGTTGAGGTGAGGCTAAGGATTATAATTTCTTTATCAATTGAAGAATAAGTTCATTTATAGAAAATGTACCAATGTGTGTCTCCCATGTATACTAGAGGTTCACAAACCCATTATATAGGCAGCAGGTATTTTAACTATTTTTACTAGTTATTACTTTAAATTTCCTAGAGCTTATCTACAACTTAAGCCTCTTATTGAATGATAGGTTGTGGATTCGCTTAGTAGTCATCCCACTGTTCGGCCAATGTCACATCAACAACAATCTCATGCATTTTCATCCCAAGAGGTGAGCAATCATTTAATCGAAGCTTTTTTGACAAATACAATATCTTATTAATTACAATACTTGTTTTTATTAAGTAGAGGTTCACCTTTCAAAGAGAAGAAGAAGAAGAAGAAGAAGAACTAACAAGGTAAAAGTACTAACATTACTAGTTTTTAATTTCTCACTTTTTTAAATCTATCAAGACATGATGTGATTTGGTGTTGGAAATTAGTGAATAATTGTTGATTGGGAAAAGACCTAGAAAGGAGAAGAGTGGGTTTTAGTTTGGAAACAAATTAAAAACTGAAAAATTAAACGCAATGCAACACATCTTTGCGCGATATTGAGATTGGATAACCTGAAAAAATGAGGAAAATGAAAAATTGAAGTGATACAATTTGGTTGTTCTTAGTTTGGAAACAAATTAAAAACTTGAATTAAGCCAAATCAGCCGCATGGTTTTATATATTAACCTAGAAAATAGTACCTTGAAAAACATCCAAATCTTGTGGGATATTTGGCAATATTCTGTGCCTTTTGGTCGATGCAGCAAGTAGCCGAGTGAGTAATGGCCAAGGTTGTTAAAATCGGGATCCTAAGTAGGATCAGTGAGAGGGTCTAGTGGATCGGATCGTAGGATTGGATCGAGGATCGTAAGATCTTACTTTCTATTAAAAAAAAAGATAAAAATTAAAATTAAAATGATACATATTAAAAATAAGGTGAAAAATCATAAAATCTACGATAACATTTTACTAAACAATTTTTTTTTTAATTATTCAAATAAATAAATAAATAAATTGGGTGCCCTTGAAGGTGGAGTGTGTAATGAAAAAGAGGGGGTTGCTCCATCGCCACCTATGTTGAGGCAAGCCTTATCATTATTTGATTCTTCAAGAGGCAGTTTCATTATTATTATTTTTTTTCTGAACAACTTGCATATTTTTTACTAATATATTCCGATAAAATTAATGTCATGCTTCATAATCAGTAATCAAACTTTAACTAGTTTTTCACACTATAACCCTTATTTGTCCAAAAAAAAAAAAATTTTTTTTAGCAGATAAAATAAACGATGCATGTTTAGTCTCGTCATAAATTACTTGTTATATATGAAGCAGGAGAATTATATGTATTTGGGATTAGTCGGAATAAAATTCCAAAAATGCTAGTGAAAAAATAAAATAAATTTTGGAGACCCCTGTTGAATCAATTACTCACAAATTTGGGGCTTTTGTTTTTGAAACGTAAGTTATTCACCTAGTCTTGAAGGAAGAGTGAAAATGGGAAGACAGAGTAGTGTGACTGCAAAAGAAACAATAATGTTTTATTATTAGTCTAGATAAAAGAGGACACTAAACTCCCTTGATTTGATATGATCTGATTTGAACTCTGCAAATTTTGTACAATCAAATTAACAAACAGTTTTGAATTTTGTTTAAGAATTGGCTAGATCGTTCCCAAACAGACTCATTATAGGATAAGATTAGACATATATTATAAGACGAAATTACATACACTATTTTTTTTATCATCTAAACTCAAAATTAGTTATTCAAATTGCATTTTTTACCCATTCCATGTGATTTGAAAGATTCAAATGGGGTTGATACCTGAACAAATGGGTTGCCCCGGTGGATAAGGAATATGTTACCCAGCTCATTGATAGATAGGTGAAGGTTTTTTGGTTGGGATCAAACCCGGGACGACGAGTCATTGCTTAAGCAAATCCAGAAATAAAGTTAGACCTGGCCAACTTTTTTGGATCAAAAAGAAATGTACATATGAAATTCATTTTAAGTGTAGATATATATTGTTGATCATATGGTGTAGCAATGGAAGTCGGTTTGCCTACCTAATGATAAAAGGACCACACAAATAGAGGAATCAATGGAATCATCATTACCACTTGATGTCTTAGAGCTATGATGATTAAATTCAACAATTATATAGTTAAAAAAAAAGGTGCATTTACCAATTGTGTAACATCAAAAACAAAGAATGGGAAATTGTTCAACTCATATAACACATTCAAACCACACGTATGAGCTTGGATGTATGCGACTTTATGGTTTGACTTTTGGGTTATAATGTATTTGTTTAAGGGTACATTACAATTTACCCGTTATTTTTTTTTCTCACTTTAATCTTTAAAATATGTAATTATTTTCAATTTGCATCAACAACAAATGTCCATCTAAAATTGTACCAAAAATTTAATGTCTGTGTCACGTCTCTCAAATTTATGGTGTAATAGAAAAAAATATAATATTTTTAGTATAAATGTGACAAAAAATATAGTAATACTTAAAAAGGTTAATATGAGAAATTACCTATTGTAATCATATGGTTGTCCTTAAGTTTGAGTCGAATAAAATATCACATGTCACAAACTGATATCACATGATATTGGCATGACATTTTTCTATCTAATTTGAGATAAACATTAGTTATTGGTCTAAATTAAAAAGAATTACATACCTTGAGAACCAAAAGTTTAAAAAAATAGTAATAATAAAAATTAAAAATCAAAGTTAAAATAATTTAGGAGAGAGAAAATGAAATTGACCTTTGGTTAAACGATGCGTGCACACATATGTAAACGGCCTATCTTTCGGCTTAAAGTAAACTTTCCTTTGATTGTTTTTTATGCCCATAATTAGTCCTACTCAAACATTAACACATTAACCAGTTTAGGTATGTACTGATGTTGATCCAAAATTTTTGATTTTGATTTTATGATACCCTGGTGAAGAAACATGATTTACGGGTTTATGTTTTATAGCTACACTAGAAAATAGTCTATTCCCTTGTCCTAGAAGATTGATTGGTTAAATATCAATATTTTATATATTAGGCAATGAGAATAACTAATGTCACTAATTCACCAATCAAAGAGTTGGATTTTTTTCGTAGTTTGTCTGCAATAATCTTGTGTCTTTTTTGTCATAGCAAGACATATTAATAAAATATAAATTTTAATGGGTCGAGTTAAAATTGAAAGAAAATGATAACAAAATAACTCTTTAATTTTTTATTTTTTTTTCCCTTGTACCACATTGATTTCTTAGTAATTTCTTGCACTTTTTATATGCAGACCTTTGTTATTGGGTAAGGGCCAAGAATGTGGGGGAGACTATGTAAACTTTTGGCCATATGTGTGAAGTCCATATATATATATATGTTTTTTTTTTTTTCTCTTTTTTTCTCATTGATTTTTAGTAAGATTCATTTCTTTTTATAATTAACAATGATTAAGTAATTAACTAGCCATTTCATAATTCAAGGAAGTTTGATTGATTTATAATTCAAGGAATTTTTTTGATCAAATCCTTGATTCATTTCTTTGCCCCTTATTTTTTTTCCCCACTTTAATCTTTAAAGTATCTAATTATTTTCAATTTGCATCAACAACTAATGTCCATCTAAAATTATACCAAAACTTTCATGTCTTTGTCATGTCTCTCGAATTTATGGTGTAATAGAAAAAAAATATAATATTTGAAGTATCAATGTGACAAAAAATATAGTAACACTTAAAAGGTTAATGTGAGAAATTACTAATTTTAATTCTATAGAGTCGAATAAGATATCACATGTCACAAACTGATATCACATGATATTGGCATGGCATTTTTCTAGGTAATTTGAGATAAATATTAGTTGTTGGTCTAAATTAAAAAGAATTACATACCTTGAGAACCAAAAGTTTAGAAAGATAGCAATAATAAAATTTAAAAATCAAAGTTAAAATAATTTAGGAGAGAATGAAATTGACCTTTGGTTAAATGATGCGTGAACACATATGTAAATGGCCTATCTTTCGACTTAAAGTAAACTTTCCTTTGATTGTTTTTGTTGCCCATAATTAGTCCTACCCAAATATTAACACATTAACCAGTTTAGGAATGTACTGATAATGATCCAAAATGTCCATTTTGATTTTATGATACCCTAGTGAAGATACATGATTTACGGGTTTATGTTTTATAGCTACACTTGAAAATGGTCCACTCCCTTCTTCGTGAAGATTGATTGGTTAAATATCAATATTTTATATATTAGGCAATGAGAATAACTATTGTCACTAATTCACCAAATCTAAAAGTTGGATTTTTTTTCGTAGCATGTCTGCAATAATCTTGTGTCTTTTTTGTCATAACGAGACATATTAATAAAATATAAATTTTAATGATTCGAGTTAAAATTGAAACAAAATGATATAAAAAAAAGCTCAAATTTATTTTTTTTTCATTTTGCTCCTTGTCCCACATTGATTTCTTATTAATTTCTTACACCTTTTATATACAGACCTTTGTTGTTGAGTAAGGGCCAACAATGTGGGGGAGACTATATAAACTTTGGGCCATATGTGGGAAGTCCATATATATATATATATATGTTTTTTGTCTCTTTTTTTTCTCATTGATTTTTTGTAGTATTCATTTCTTTTTGTAATTAACTATGATTAGGGAATTAACTAGCTATTTCATAAGTTAAGAGATTTTGAGTGATTTATAATTCAAGGAATTTGTTTGATCAAATCCTTGATTCGTTTCTTTGCCTCTTATTTTTTTCCCTCACTTTAATCTTTAAAGAGTGTAATTATTTTCAATTTGCATCAACAGCTAATGTCCATCTAAAATTATTTTGAAACTTTCATGTCTTTATCACGTCTGTCGAATTTATGGTGTAATAACAAAAAAATATAATATTTTAAGTATTAATGTGACAAAAAATATAGTATTACTTAAAAGGTTAATGTGAGAAATTACTAATTTTAATTCTATGGTTGTCCTTAAGTTTGAGTCGAATAAGATATCACATGTCACAAATTGATATCACATGATATTGGCATGACATTTTTCTATCTAAATTGAGATAAACATTAGTTATTGGTCTAAATTGGATAGAATTACATAACGGGAGAACCAAAAGTTTAGAAAAATGGTAATAATAAATATTAAAAATCAAAGTTAAAATAATTTAGGGGATAGAAAATGAAATTGACCTTTGGTTAAACGATGCGTACACACATATGTAAATGGCCTATCTTTCGGCTTAATGTAAACTTTCTTTTGATTGTTTTTGATGCCCATAATTAGTCCTACCCAAATATTAACACATTAACCAGTTTAGGTATGTATT